TTGGCATATCTATACCTTTTCTCCAGAAATCTTTCGTGCACTCTGACTCTCTAAAGCAAAACTTCAATCCATCAGTACTTAGCCGATTTCAGATTTGAAAGTGCGCTTGAGGCTAACTAAGACCTACAGCTGCCCCACACTCGGGCCACGGTGAGTATAGAACCCTGGACCTATTGGTTCTAAATCCCACGCTCTAACGGCATTGCGCCACCGACGCCACGTAAAACTTACCAATGTACATGTCGTTTGTCCAGCCCACAAGCGAGGGGAGGCAGATGGCGGCTGAGGTGACCCACACGGCCACGATGGCGAGCCTCACCCGCTTGCGAGACAGCCCCTGCCGCCTGTAGTCCGCAGGGCGTGCGACCGACCAGTACCTGTCGTACAATAGATTAGTATGTGTAAATGTTGGGTGTAGCAGGTCGTTCTAGCCACTACCAGGCTTCGGGAAGCGACTGGAAAGAGTTGAAATTGACCAAATAGACTGATGATATGCCTGGGAAGTTGGTCTGCCGCAAATAGGTGTTTAGTAGATATGTCCACCACTGAAATTCGATGTGTGCAAGGCGGTATTTTTCATTTAATTGATATGGAACGGTCCATTTTGGAATGAGGAGGGAGATGGACTGAAATATGCTGTATTTGCTCCTGAGAAAATGTCTGCCTTTGTTGTACTTGTGCGAGTACTACTGTACAAGGTCGCGGCAGCTCGATGGAATCAGCCTGGAGGATCTTCAAGTTTGCAGAATTTTACCAGTGTCCTAAGAACACGTACGGACGCTGTGCGTTCTAGATCGTTCTAGAAAAGATTCAGAATGCGTCTAATTTTGTACCACTCTTGATTGTTTTGGTTTGTATAAATGAATGAATCAATCAATCAAGTTTTAGTAATGTGTCGTGTATCTTATGCACCCAGTCTGTGTTGGATTTGTAGCTATCTTGGACATCCATACACAAATTGCAGGAAAAATATCAAAAGACTTCAAAAAAATCAATGATTCCAATTAGCACCATCATAAAAACATTATGCTACTATAAAAGTCTTTCCGACAAGATGCGGGCGTACATGCTGAAAAGAATACTGATTAATTTTGGTAATGGCTAAATATACCGCTCGGGTCCTTTACAGAAATTCTAGGCACCCGGTTGTTACTTGAATCATGCGGGCAGTATTCTTATTGTGGCTACGGGCTATGAATTAATGAGTTATTCACTACACAGATTCGTTAGGCTGAACCAGTGACTTGTATTCTCTTGTGTCCAATCAAAGTTTGTGGATGATATTGTTGGGATATTATCAAATACATTCGCTTATTCCGTGAGGCCATAGACGTTGCTTTTCGGATTATCTTATACTCTATTATTATTATGTATACCTACTAAGTGTACAGCTACTAATTTAATCATGTCAAAAGTCTTGTGACTTAAAAGGACGGGGATTACTAATTAGAACAAGTTTCCTTTGATTGAAGATTTGGAAAACAGATTGTTACAAGGGCCCATACAGGTCAGCTCCTCAGCACCAGGATTGACATGACCCCGAGGAAATTTTGCCTCAGCCCCCCTTATGAAGGTCCTTCAGCACCAAGGCTGTTAATTGGATTCAGGCAAGCAAAATCATTGGGATGGGCTGAGTTAGCCAGGCGGTGATAGAAGCTCCTGATTCCTAGAATACTGCTTCCGTACGCGTATTCATTTGCTTATTCAGCCCCTCCGCCTGTCCTGCTACAAAATGTAACACAACACAACAGGACTCAGGGTGTCTGCTACAGCTGACACCCTAGTGAAAGATGTCTGATCCAGGTCATTGACTTTACTTGTTTGGGGAGAAGAAGAAGAAGGAACTGAGCATAAAAATGTTTTCTTTCCTGAGCAAAAGCAAAAAATGTTTTCCTTCTGCGAAGGTTAGGGTACAGTTAGGGTTATGGCTATGGCTATGGTTAGGGTTAGGGTTAGGGTTAGTGTTAGGGTTGAGGTTGAGGTTACGGTAAGGATAGGGTTCGCGTTAGGGTTAGGGTTGGGGTTGGGGTTGGGGTTAAAGTTGGGGGTTGGGGTCGGCGTTGGCGTCGGGTTTAGGGTTACGGTTGGGGTTTGGGTTAGGGTTAGGTTAGGGTTCGCGTTAGGGTTGGGGTTAGGGTTTGCGTTGGGGTTGGGGTTGAGGTTAGGGTTAGGGTTAGGGTTAAGGTTAAGGTTAGGGTCGGGGTTAGGGTTAAGGTTAGGGTCGGTGTTGGGTTGGAGTTGGGGTTTGGGTTAAGGTTAGGGTCGGGGTTAGGGACGAGTCTAGTATAGACGAACGGCCACGGTTCCCTACCTGTCTAAGCTGATAGCGCACAGGTTGATGATGGAAGCGGTGCAGGCGAAGATGTCCACGGCCAGGAACACGCCGCACAGCGCCTCCCCGAAGAACCAGTACCCCAGCAGCTCCGTCACCAGGGCGGGCGGCATGATCACCAGCCCCACCATCAGGTCAGACACCGCCAGCGACACAAGGTACCTGGGAGGGAGAAAAGGATAGGATGAAAATGGGTGTGTTTGAGTGTGTGTGTGTTTGTGTGTGTGTGTGTGTGTGTGTGTGTGTGTGTGTGTGTGTGTGTGTGTGTGTGTACGTACGTTA